AGCAGCAGTAGTAGTAGTAATAATAATAATAATAATAATGGCAGCAACAACCCTGGGTAGAAGCACACACCGTGGCAAAGCTTTGAATAATTATTTCTTCCACGGTTATTAATCCACCCCTCTGCCCCCCAGCTGCCCTTATAATCCCCAAGCATGTGCTAGTGACATCACCCGGCCATCAGCTCCAAGTTCCTGTCCCCTGTAACTGTCATTAAGTGCTGCGAGCAAATGAAAAATGACTGGGAGACTCAGCGGCTCCCACCACTGACCTTGTGTATTATTAGAATGACCTCCCTTTGCTTTGACCATAGGAGGGAGAGAGAGTGAGAGCGAGAGCAAAGTCTTCCCTGATATCATTGCAGTGGCTGGGACTGAATCGAAGCTGTTTGCAAGGGGATGGTGATGGCAGAGAGAGTGAGCGGGGGCAGGGAGCAAAAGAGTAAGGAATGCCAAGTAAATGTTATGCAAAGCTGGGGGGGGGGGCTCAATAAATACTTAATCAGAAGCGGAGTCTTTGGGGAGTTGCCCTTTTAGCAGATAGAAAATAACACAGGAGTGGGGCATAGAGAGGCCCAACATTTTGCCCTCTGACTCATGTTCGTAACAGAATCTTCCCCTGCTTTCTAAGGCAAAGATCAACAATCTTCTTAAGCCTGTGGGCACATCTGGATATTTGGATGAATGCTTTGGGTGCTCCCCTGCCCTGCTCAAGTCACTTCTCTCCCCTGTGGATCTGTCCCCTTACACCCGACACACAGAAAGGAGGATGTGTGCTCACTCCTCCCCACATTTCCACAGGATATTGGTAAAAGCCGGATCCAGTGGAATTAATCAGTGTCTTGGAAAGTACATAGAGCTGAAAGAGGAAGTGGGAAAGAGTGGCCCTCTTCTAACTTCCTCCTTCTGTTCTGCATAGCAAGAGAACAGTGAGGGTGCTGGTGCCTCTGAGTCTTTGTGGGCATCAGGACAAGAACTGAAAGGTGTGATTATGTCATCGAGGGCCACATTGGCACCCCCAGTTCTAAGGAGTAGAACACCAGGGTTGGATGGGATAAGGTGTTGGCTTGTGGCAGAATTGGCAGCATCGTCAACAGCATGATTTTCATTCCTTAAAAATTCTGCTTAGCCTCCAGGAATTCTTTAGCAAAAGGACCTGCTCCTTAATTCTGTTGCTGTGCTGTGCTTTTATGCATGATGGACTGTATGCATGATATGCCAGTCTGCATAATATGGTTACTGGAGGGCTGCCACCCTGACTTAGCCTAGGTTGCAAGGGTCTTCATTTGTGTGCAGCGGCCCAGGTGCAGATTGAGAGATTTTCTGTATGCTATCACAAATGTCTACACATAGCTATTCTCCAGATCCTTCTCTGCATTTTCTAGTGCTGGCTGACTACTCCATGGAAAAAATGGAATACTTTCATTTAAACAGCAGAAGACATTTGGTGTCAAAATCTGATAGCTGCTGCACATTTGGCAGGACTTGGCAGCTACTAGCTAGCATGCAGTGACATTCAATTTCTGAGAACTTATGTCAACATTCCCCAACCTGGTGCTTTTGGGGTTGTTTCAGACTAGAACTCCTGTCTCCCGCAGCCCGTGTGCTATTGACATAGTATCATTATAGCATTTTTCTTGGGGTGGTGGTGGTGGTTTCCAGTCTGGATGATGTCCAGGGATCGCTTCCAGGCTTGTGATTCTGTACCACAAAGGTTTAGAATCTAGTGGAAGATGACACTGTACCAGTCAGATCAGTTTCTTTATAAGATAATGGCCTTGGCTGGTCTGTTAAGCACCAACATTCACATGTCCAAAGAGGTTTCCCTGTTGTCATGGAGACAAATAGGTGGCTCTTTTCCTACCTCAAATGGCTGGATGCCAGCTTATCCTAGGATGGAATGGAGAAGAGTAAGCCAAGAAGTGCTGTGTATGAGAGACACAGAGAGAGGAGAGAAAAAGAGGGTTTTGGTTGATGTTGGAAGCTGAAGACACAGAGGCTTTTCTTGCTCTCTGCTGGATTTATAACTACAATTCAGGGATGTCCCTGGGCCAGGGGTGCCAACTTGAATACAATATTGGGAGGGGGGCAGGTAAGCCCCACCCCACATAATCGATCACAGGATGTGGTCACACACACCATTGGTATTGCAATGCCCATCAACTGGGTGGCCAACCCCCTCAAATATTATATTGGGTGGGGCAAAGCCCCCTCAGCCCCTAGGAGTTGGGTCCTATGATGGGAACTTAATGGGGAAGTAAGATCTGTGGAGTGTTAATGCTGCAAGCCCCTCCATCCTATGCTCAGGTTGTATATATGTGTAAATAAAACTAGATAACCTAAAGACACCACAGTCTCCATTGACCTTCATTCCAAGGAAATGAAGCTCTTGATCATCACAGGCATCCCTGAAGTCTCTCACTGCTCAGAGACTGGGGTGCGCACAGCAGAATTTTAAGCTGCCTTAATGTGTATGTATGTTTTAAGTCTTATACATGATTCAGTGTGCACAGTGCTTGCAGATTTTCAAATATGAAGCAGTTTTATAAATGTCCTAAATAAATAAATCCAACAAACAAATGTTGGTGTGGTGCAGAGGATGGCGTCCACAGCATGGCTCGATAAACAACTCATGCAAATGCTTTTCCATGGTTGGAATATTGGATGTGCTGGAACTTTGCCATGCAGACACAAATTTCTATTGCAATTTCTCTTTAAGCAAAATTGGCAATTCTTTGCCAGTCCTTTTGCCTGTTATTTGCACACACACACACACACACACACACACACACACTGAAACAGTTAACAATGACAACAACACTGAAGACTGATTTAAGTGAGAGAGACACAGAGAATCTCAAAGCCTTGTCTTCCCATCAACTGCCTTGGTTGGAAAATAGATCTGATACTCTCTGGACTAACTCCTGGCCAGAAAAGGGGTCATTTTATTACAAGTTATGACAAGCTGCAGAGAGATGGGGAGAGAACTCAATAAGGAGCATCAGCAAGTGGAATAAAAAAAAAAAAGGAATGCTCTTGATGGTTTTGAAGGCAGACTGAAGATGACTTCAAATGATAGGTGTTAGCAGAAACCTTGATATAATCAACGGGGGGGATTTCAAACATGGCATCTTCAGGAAAGTGTTCCAGGAACGAGAGATGGAGTGCTGCTCACCAGTTGGATAGAGTGGATGCTTCTTCTCCTCCCCGCCACCAGCAAGTGCCTGAGCATGCTTCAGTATTAATGTGCCATCTCCTCTTCATAAAGGAGTGAGTTACATGATTACAGAAGAGCCCTACAACTATGGGTGCCTCTCTCTTCTTGAAAGTGCCTTAGGAAATGACGGGGATGTTTGGGATTTTCTTAGCATCTCAGCTTTAAAATCATAACCACAACAGAGGATCTCTCTCCCTCCCTCTCCCCCCGCCCTCTCTCTCTCACACACAGAGAATTCATGAAGCAACAAGTACCATATGTAGGCACTAAGATGGTCCTTTTGTCCCCAGGGATCCATAAGGTTATTTTCAACTATGCACGGCAAATATTTTCATAAGGCAAACCTACACAACTTGTGACCCACCAGGCTAAAGACACTGAGTTACATACATTGTTGCCAGAGCTTTTTTAAAAAAAGAAAAAAGGTGCCACTACTCACTATGAAGTGCCATACTTTTTCTGCTGGCAAAATGTTTTACATCCATGGAATGTTGTTGCACAAGGGAATGTGTAAACTGTTCCACAAGGCGTTTCCGCTGGCTCAACTAAGTCACTGGATTCCTCTGTTGTGCAAAATTAAAATCCATCCATCTCCTAACTCAAGGTCAGTCTGTCCTCATGCTACCGGACAGAGAATTTTGGATACAACCCCAGATGGGGGACTGTCTCGTTTAGCTACCTGAGGCGAAACTGCAAGGTGCCGCCCTCTGCACACACTGTGCACCATGCTTACCGGGGTCATGTGGCTGAGGCTTCCAGCGAGATCCCGTGAGAGCCCTCTCGTGACCTTCTCAAAACCCTGGTAAGCAAGGTGCTCTGCCTCACTTACCGGGGTCTCAGGAAGGGCATGTGAGGCATCCAGGCACCTCCTCAACATCTTACTTGAACTTGGATGGTGCTGCAGCCGCTTCTTGTGTCTCCAGCAGTAGGGGCAGTGGTGCATGCCTCCAGTCAGTAGAGGGCAGGCTTGAGATTATCAGACAGTCAGGGAATATACACTCTGTGGTTTTGCCACTAAATGCCTAAGCTCCACCCCATTTCCTCCTTCTTTCTCCTCTCTTTCTCTTTTCTTGCATAAGGATACCTTGAATGTGGCTCTAGTGATGTAGCGTAGAATCTGAAGCTGTCCTCCCCCCACCCCTTTACCAGTAGAGCTCTGGTGTGTTATATTTTTCCCTTTAAAGCTCTGGGAAGGGAATGGGGTCCCCTAACAACTCTCAGCACTCTTAACAAACTGCAGCTCCCATAATTCTTTGGTAGATGCCAGGACTTTGATATCACATAGTGCATGGGTAGGCAAACTAATGCCCGGCGGCCGGATCTGGCCCAATCGCCTTCTAAATCCGGCCCGCGGATGGTCCGGGAATCAGCTTTTTTTTACATGAGTAGAATGTGTCCTTTTCTTTAAAATGCATCTCTGGGTTATCTGTGGGGCCTGCCTGGTGTTTTTACATGAGTAGAAGAATGCGTCCTTTTATTTAAAATGCATCTCTGGGTTATTTGTGGGGCATAGGAATTTGTTCATTTGCCCCCCTTCAAAATATAGTCTGGCCCCCCACAAGGTCTGAGGGACAGTGGACCGGTCCCCTGCTGAAAAAGTTTGCTGACCCCTGACATAGTGCATTAAATGTATGGTAGGAATGTGACCCAAAATACACCTTGTACATAGAAAGCTAGAATGTCTGTGGGGAGGGTGTGTGTGGGCTCTAGTATTCTCATTAATGTATTAGTTTTCTATGTCCAGGGTTTGTTAGTCCGGACTGAGTTCACGCCACACTTTCTCCGTGCTGGGATAGCCCAGTTGGTAGACCGTGGGACTCTTAATCTCGGTTATGGGTTTGAGCCCCATGTTGGGGCAAAAGATTCCTGCATTGCAGAGAGTTGGACTAGAAAGATGACCCGTGTGGTCCCTTCCAATTCTATGCTTCTTTGATTCTATGATTCCCTATTCCCTGCCTCTGTGAGTGGTACAGTTCAGGAAGTGGGCCTTATTATTCTAAAGCAGCAGTTTTATAGACACCTGGGAGTAAGTCCCAGTGGACTCAGTGGGGTTATTTCTGAGTGGACTTGCCCAGGGTCCTGCTGTGAGCCTTCAACTGCTTTTGAAAGACATGGGTCAGGGCAGTGATGGGGCATGTTTGATTCTGAGCTCGAGCCCCACAGGAAAGTGTGGGAGGAATGTTGAGGGAACACACATGTTGTGTCCCTAGGAAGACTGTAGGAAGACAATGGCTTTGGCTAGCGATACCAGCTCCAAACAATCGAGCCTTTATCTCAGCAAAGATAGAATGGCATCATGCACATTCTTTAATGGAGACTAAAGGCATTCTTTCTAGCAGCTTGGGATGCTTTCTTCGAGTCATGAACTTTTCTGTATTTCATCTTAAATGAGTGGATTCAAGTGCTTAGCCTGATGTTGACGAGGCATTATTCTTATTATTAGGTTGTATTAGGTTGTATTCAGCTTACTCAGAGTAGACCAGTTGAAATAAATAGGCTGATATTAGGCTGCAGTCTTAAGCCTACTTAAGTGGGAAGGAAGCACCCGTAAATTCAATAGGACTTACTTCTGATTAGACAGGGTTAGGCTTGCGCCATTTATTTCAGTGGGCGTGCTCTGACTGTGACCTAGTTGGAGTCAACTCTCAATTAATAAGAATTTATTTACTTATTTAACATATGACAGTAGCAATCCAAATAACGGATCTTTTAAATCACATTTTACCAGTGAGTAAGAACTTGAGCTGTTATTTATGATTTTTTTAAAAGTTCATCTTCTGTTGTTATTTGAATGAATACGTCCCCCTCGCCAAATAAAATCAATCTTTCTCGGGTAGATACACTTACATTTGTGTGTGTGTGTGTTCTCTCCCCACCCCCTTTCCTTAAATTAATTTGATCTAGCCAAATGTCAAGGCAAACCCGCAACAACAGTACCAATAAAACAATACGGATCATATATTTGCGTTTTTAAAAATCGGCCCCAAAGGACAAAACGCGTAGACAATAAAAGATGGCGAATGTGCGCTTCCTTCAGGTAAAGGATGAGTTACGCAAACTTGGACTAAATGGGAAAACGGCAACGGATCGAAGAAATGTGATGTGCGCACACCGATCTCAAGTCAATTAAGAGGAGAGGAGTGAGCCGAGGGAGGTTCTGTTACCTGTTAACTAAAAGTTGCCCTCTGCTATAAGTTCTGTTTCACCTGCTCGCCCCTCAGAAGCTTTTATCTAAGCCAGGCAGCTGATCAACAGACAACCCAAGAAAGGTAGTTTGCCCTGAACATATTTCCAAGTGGGGGATTTCAATTTTAAGTAATAAACGAGGAGCAATTAACTGGTCACGTTTGCCTGATTCCTTTTAAGAAAGGGTTATCTGCTGTGATGCGATCGGAGCCAATACAACGCCTTTTCTGTTTATTGAGTTTTTGTGCCGTATATGTGTTTAAGTAACCATATCAATACTAACTCACAGGTTGCAATCCTGTGCTCACTTACTTGGGAGTAAGTGCCCTTGAAGACAGCGGGACGTGCTTCTGTGTTTAGATGTGGGCTCTGAAGCATTAGCGGTTGAAATACTGTATGTTGTTGGGGGTACGCTTTATGTTAAGATATACTATGTTGCCAAAAGGTGGGGGGGGGGGGGAGAGAGAAGGAGAAGGAGAAGGAGAGGGCAAATTCCGAGGTCCCGGAATAATATTGCATTGTGTTCAGAGGATACTATTAAAATTGGTTGCCGCCTTGGTAAAACACAGCTGGATCGGTCCAGCATTCTCTTCTCACAGTGGCCACCAGGTGCATCTGGGAAGCCCGCAAACAGGACGTGAGCGCAGCAGCAACTCTCTCCACTAACGAACCGCGGCAACTGGGATACAGCGGCAGTTCTGAGCTACATGAATCGATTCCCTATAAGGCGGCTGATGGGCTGATTTAGCGTAAAGCGGCTGGTTGTGTTCTAAATCAGCCTTCCGCATGCGAGTTGCTGTAGTCCAGAAGAAGAGGAAACTTGTAGGATCAGGCCAGTGGCCCATCTAGTCCAGCCAGCATTCCTGTTGTCACAATGGCCAACCAGATGGTTGCTGTAAGATACCCTCAAACTGAACCTGAGCCCAACAGATGTTGGAGGGTGAGCATAGCTGTCGAGGCTAGCAGCCATTGATCGCCACATATAAAGAGGCACAGTTCAATAGGTAAGCAAGTCACACTGAACTCCGTGGGTCTTACTTCTGAGTGTAGGCAATGATCAGGACTGCACTGTTAGACCCCCCTAGTCTGTAGGCACTGGTTATAGCATTTGCCCCCTCGCCCAACAAATCCTGAGCCCCCTTCTCACCACACACACGTCAATCCCATCTCAACAAAAGAAGACACCTCCTCCCAGAATAAAGTCACATTGCAAAGTTATTAAGAGACATCTCCCGGTTCCAAATACGACCCTGGGACAGGGGCTTTGGGGGGGGGGGAGACGGGAGGCATGGATTCAACGGACCAGGAGAGTCTGTGCAACCAGAAAGGGGTTTTTTTTGGGGGGGGGGAGGAAAATCTATGGGGGAAAGCCGATAAGCCTGTCTGACTGTATACAATCGTCCCCCTTTTCTACAAAGTTGCGGAAGCGACAGTCGGGCAGATGGTAATCTCAAAAGCAGATAGGGGGGCTCCGGCGAGGGGGGGGGGGGCGGGCGGCGGAGAGGGAGGCACCGTCGCTCTTTGTCGAGGTCCCCTTGGCTGGCTAATCAGCTCCAGCGTCTGCGGCGGGTCCCTGAACCCTCCCGTCTGCTTTCGACGGCTTGACGGCCTGGAAAAAACGCGGCACCTGAATTATTGAAGAGGAAGGCAGTTGACTTCTCACCCTCTCCTTCGCTTTCTCTCTCGGAATCCATCACCTGAGCGTTTTCTCTGAAAGGCTAGAAAAAGCGGGGGAGTACACGAGGAGGGGTGGAGGGCCGAGCGAGGCAAAGACTGGGACCGGACAGAGACCCTCTGGAAACCCCAGGAGGGCGCTGCCGCCCCATCACCTGCCTGAACAGACGGCGCACGGGCCTCTCCTCGCGGAGACCAGAGGAAGAAAGTCCCAAAAGACTCTGGATCCGTGAGAAAGTCCCATTCTAGACTCAACCCACTCAAAAAGAAGGGGCAGGTTACAGAGGGTGTCTGTGTGGAACGCAGGTGGTTTTGCTGAGAAGACTTTATATTCATTTAAAATAATCCCTCAGTTGATCTAAAATCTTAATTCCCAAGCATGTTATTTCCTTTCCCCTCCGAGGGGTTTTGTACCCCTCCCTTTCCCCAGATCAGGGCGCAGGGCGGCTTATAACACAAGATGCACTGCAGACAGTAATCTAAAATAGAAAACAAAGCTATAATTCCATACATCCATTATAGACTGAAAAATACAGCAACTGCCATAGTTAAACTATGGAACTTGCTCCCGCAAGAGGCAGTGAGGGCCACCTGCCTGGCTTTAAAAATGGAGCAGACAAATTCATGGAGAAGTCTGTCAGTGGCTAACGGCTTGGTTTTTCCTCTGCACTATGCCTCTGAATACCAGTTGCTGGGAATCGCAGGTGGGAAGAGTGGGCTTCCCATGGGCATCTAGCTGGCCACTGTGAGAACTGGATGCTGAACTTAACAGCCAAGACTCAACTCCAGTCAGCATCCGCATCATCAGAATTCCAAGGGCCTGGACAAACCACGGTCTGGAAAAGTGACGTGGCAGAGCAACTGGATTGCTCTAGGACGCCATATGCATTGCTGGCATTCCATATGGCCACGTGCTGAATCTGAAAGATTTATATTACAAAAAGGCTTTGCATGATGGACCTCCTGTGAGCAAGGGGTACTTTGGAGTTCAAATAGGATTGCGTCTATATTTTACAATTAGGCTGGGAATGTTAGTTACAAACCCCCAACACCAACAAACATGCCAGAAGGACGTCTCAATCCTAAGCATGTTCATTAGAGAGCAAGCTCGGTGGAATCGTGGGAGCTTGCTTCCAAGTAAACATGCATAGGATTGGGACCCAAAGGGACCCAAAGTCGCCTTCTTCTCCTCAGCTCCTTCACTGGAATGTCCCTGGATATCATCCTTGCCCTTGAACCCAGGTCTTTCGAATGGAATATATCTAGAGAGTGGAGTGGGAGTTGGAGTGAGGTGAGTGCGGCCGCCTGCCACCTTAAAGGAAAGGGGTCCCGATCCAACCAAGCGGCAGCGCTTCGAGGCCCCCTGGTTTCCATAGGAGAGAACTGGGCACTTACTCAGCTCTCCCTCTGGAAATGAAGGTGGCTCCCAACCCCTTAACTTGCACAGGATGTGACCCAAACTCCTCGCTTTAAAAATCTGTTCGAACTTTTATTTCCAGGGCTGTCTAAATGGGACTCCGAAGGCGCCCCACGCCCCCTCAAATTCAATCATTTTATTTTATTGTCAGCAGGGGAGGAAATAATTCATCTACTGGCAGTGCTATGTGGGGATCCTCGGAAGTCAGGGCCACTATGTTCAGAAGGGTTTAACCCCCAGATAGTTGTGTGTAGGATCGTAGCCTGAATCTATACCTGTCATTGCAACAACAACAACAACATGTTTTAATTTCAGGAGAACGGAGCTTCCATACTGATGAACCGGGGTCCATAGTGAAGATTTTATGAAAATCCACCAACTACCATCTTGCATTGATCAGACCTATCATCCTTTCTGAAGACCCAAAGGAAACAATATGTGCGGGGCGTGTGTGGCTCCTCATTGTTGCCAAATAAGCAGCACGTAGTTCACCTTAGCGCGCGCGCGCACTTGCTAGTAGGATAATCAAACCGCAAAGGGACATGTTAAAATTTGGGGACATATTAAAACCCACCGGCAAGGGACCTGATAAAATCCGCCAGCCAACCCTTTCGCATTTTCCCGATCTAATATATATGATTTCGGTTCCAAAATAAAGGAACGTCTCCAAATCTCCCCTCCCCCCCTCTCTCACACATATCAAGCGCCGAAAAGGGGGAGGTATATATATTGAAATTAAGGTAGCGCCGATGTGTGTGTTTTAATAATGAATCTAATTAGCATCGGGGGAAACCCATTAGGCGCAATCGCGTGAAAATCAAAATCTGCCTTACGACTTGGACAGCTTGACGCCGGAGTCCTTGCACTGCCCCCTCCCACTAGCCTCCCCCCTCCTCCTAATCATGGGGCTGGACCACTCAGCCTCGCCTCCGTTGACAGGCGAGGCAGGAGGGCAGCGATAGATACCATTGTCCAGCCCTGACCCTCCATTAACACTCTCTATCAGCTTCTGTGGGCTGTCCCCGGTTCCCATCCCGTCTCCAGATTCGAAAGGCTTCGAAAGGCACCCGTGTGTTGATGATGATGGTGACGATGATGATGATGAGCTGGACCCCCTCGCCCTCTCCCTTTCCTCTTTGCCTCGACTAAATGGATGGAGTGGATGATGACCTAAAAACCTTGCCCCCTCCCCAGCTCAATTTGCTTTATTACCCTCCCTCTAGAGAGCTATTGTTCCGCAGGTGTTTCCAATTTGCACCCCCCACACACACACTCTTGGCCAATGGCTTCTCTGTAGTTCTACATTCCGATTCTTCTGCTCCTCATTCAGTCCTTTAAGTCCCATTAATCCCGAAAGAAGAAGAAGAAAATGTGCTTTGCGTCCATTGAGGATAAATACATCAATAAATGCTGAACAAAGTGCGTGTGTGATTTTTATTTTTTTTAAATGAAAACTGTAAAGTAAAAAATGGAAGAAGAAGAAGAGTTGGAATCCCTACTCCTCAATGAATCCTCTGATTGTCTCTCTAATTGGGGATGAGGAGGGGGAGGTGGATGGGGAGGTGTAAGAGAAACAGCTGACCTGTTGGGGTGACAGACACAGGTTGGGGAGGGTGACATTTGATTGTAAGCCTCCCTTTGAAAAGAAGAAAAGGAGAGGACCAGTCCAATAGAAGCTGGGACCGAGGGAGCCGGAGGGTTGCTAAGAGACAGGGATGCTGACGAAGTTCTATCAGAAGCTCTACCCTGACCTTATGCAAATGGGGGGCTGCCAGCTCTTTGTAGGGAGGTGAAATTTCCACCCACCATGTCACCCATACCTGGCACTCAGCCTTTTATTCAAATGTCCTCTAAAACACACTCACAGAGAAAGAGGTGACAACGCATGACACACTGGAGGAGAGAAGGAGAGAGGGAAACAAATCAGAGTTGGGAGGAGGAGAAAACTAGATTTCAATGTCAGCGCTTTCTCTTTTTTTTTCCCACTCGCTCCTTCGCTTCGAAAACTAGGCATTCCCTCTCCGCGCGCCCCCACCCCGCCCGCCCATCGCCTTTCCCGGAAAGGTCCTTCGATTGCCTTCATTCACATCAAGAGGCTATCATAATAAACTCGCATTCTTGGTTCTAGAACGCTTAATACGCCGTTACAGGCTGGGTTGGCTTAGCAACAGCCAGGCACAATGCAGAGGAGCGGAATGTCGTTATTTAAGGACGTAAGAGGAGGGCCCTGCTAGATCAGGCCTATCCTAGCATCCTGTCCTTACAGTGGCCGACCAAATGCCTGTGGAAAGCCAGCGAGGTGGAGGCTAGCGCAACGGCACTTTGGCCACCTGCGATTCCAAGCGAGTGGTTTTCAGAGGCATATATTTCTTTGGGACATTTACTTCCCACCTTTCCCCTCCCCTCCCAACTCCCCAGCAGCTCAAGGTGGTTCCCGGTCCCGCTTTATCCTCTCAGCAACCCTGAGAGGTAGGATAAACTAAGAGTGACTGCGAGTCTCCTAACCCTAATCCTGGTCTCTTTATATAATCCGAGGAAGAAGATTCCCAACCTAGCGGGCGCAGTCCGACGACTAGGGAAGTTATCTGTTCCCTCTCAGCCTGTTTAGGGACTCCCATATCCATAAGAGCACCATTAGAGTGGAAATAAAGGTGGCTTTTGCTCCTGCTGCCCTGACAATACCTGCCTATGTGTTTTGATCCATTAGTATTTGTGAAAATGGGAGGATCAAAGAGTGTACAGCGCGCATTCAGAGAGAGAGAGAGAGAGAGCGCTTTCCTGATTAACTAACAGGAAGAAGCACATGATCTTGGCTTAATTTTAACTGGGGGCTGGGGTAGAAAAACTTGTTCCTCCAAGTCAGACTGCTAGTGGGAGTTCACTTGACCGAAAGCTCCCCATACACCAATCCCTGCGCATAGAAAGCTAGCATGTCAACAGGGAAAGCCCTGAACACAGAAAATCAGCACTTCAGGAAAAAGGTTAGACTAATACCCTTCCAAGTAACTAGTTTTCTATATGCACAATTAGATAGCATCCAGTCATGTGACCTCCAGTTGCAGTCTTTTGTGGTGTAGCCAGACATGGCACAGGTTACTGAGAACCTTGGACAGGGCCTGCTATATATCTATATGCTTTTTGGAAGATTGGGTGGATATTTCCCATTACAACAATCCGGCAAGACACATTGGCATTAACAGACGCTTACTTGCCCAGAATAACGCAGTGACCCCACACCAGCATACTAGCAGATTACCCCTCGATGTTCCGAGCTTTGTCCCCCAAAACCTATACGCACATTTGCTAATATGCAAAGCCCTCTTCAACCTAGGATAAATTCTAAAATGTGGACCATCTTCAGCTTCAGTTTGAGAACACCTGTCTCTCACACAAACATCAATGGACGCCATTGGTGCTAAGCTGAACTGAGTTATCTATCTGGGCAGGTTAGGGAAGCGTTTTTAGATCCGGATTGTATCCGACGACGTCACACTCGAAAGGAGACCCACTGAAATTAATGGACTTGTTTTTAACGAAGCCGAGGCGACGGGAGAAGTAGAGGCAGCCTCTTAACCAGGGTCCGAGGGGTGAGGCAACCATCTGACTAGGGTTTCTTCCGATCTAAGCTAAACACACCCCGGATAAATCAATACCAGCGTCCAGCGTGGACAGAGTAACTGGTTTTCAAATGCAAGTCGAGAAAAAAATATTTAGGAAGAAGTGCTGGGTTGTTCAGCCACAATCCTAGGCACACTTACCTGGCAGTAAGTCCTATTGAAATCAGTGGGACTTACTTCCGAGTAAACGTGGCCTCAGGATTGAGTTGTGAGACTGAGACTGGCCAGGCTACCTGTGACTTGCAAGGGATCTTAACTAAACACACACGCATGGTGGTATTGATATTTATAATTACTTTGACCCCCCCTTATTTCCTCTCGAAGGACCCCAGGGAGGCCTACCACAAAATATAATAGTGAAATCAAATTTAAAACATTTTCAAAATAGAGCATCAGTAACGCCTCTTTGGGTCAGACCAACTCCTGTAACAACCTTTCAGTTCGAAGAGGGAGTCACCGGAGAGGCGCAAAGCATGAGAACAATGCCCTTCTCCGTTGGTTTCTCCTAAGCATGATGTTATTCAGTGATATACTTCTCTTGAATATGGAGGTTTGGTCGAACGATTATGAAAAACATCGACAGACCATGAATTTATCGAGCCCCGCAAAAAAAGCAGTCAGCTTGTAGTGTAAGGACGTGGCCATGAATGAGAGAGGGAGCGTGCAAGCCTAACCATGTTTTACTGAAGAAGTACTACTGAAATCAATGGATCCTGCTACCAGGTAAGTGAAAGTAGGATTTACTTGGGAGTAAGCTTCGTAGATCATAGTGGGAGTCACTTCTGAGTAAACATTGATTGGAACAATTTCCCAAGTCTTGACAATCCATTTAAGTGAAGAGTTTTTTCAACAAATTAAGGAGGAACTATTAATATCCGAAGTAGCTAACTGCTTTACTTTTTTTTTTTAAAGGAAGGAGTATGAGAGCTCGTTCCGTAAGTAGGAACTGTGGTAATATTTATTTATTTAGAATTATTATATACCGCTTTGTATTGGGGGGGGGAGGAGATCCAAAGTGGTGTACAAAAGAGTAACAGCAGCAAGAAGAGAAACATAACAAAACAATAACACGAATGCATGAAACACACAGCCAGATTCATTATAATAATGTGCATTTTCAAATTTGCTGTGGAAATCTGCACTGTAATTGGAAATAATAAGTTGTTAGGAAGTTAAGGAGGGTGGTTGTAAAGGTACCTAGATCTTTATCCTAAATCGCTTTCAAAATTCTCATTGATTTCAGTGAAATTTAATTCCACACATACACCCCAGTTTAGAAGGAAGAAACTCCGAATCTATTTAGCTATGCGAGGTGAGTAGGGTTGCCCTCTTCACAGACAAAGCGAAGTGGGTTTCACTGCCACGCGATCACATTGAGGGCCAGTAAGCTTCTGAATTCATTGACCCCTCGATAAGCTTATAAAGTTGCCATGGTCCCCGACCCAAACTGTTAGGAATGTAAATGAAATAAGAAATATCAATATATAATCGACATTTATTAGTCATTTATCACCATTACTAGGAATCATAAAACGCTTTAAAAGATGGTGTAAATAACTATACCATACAGAAGTTGAACACTGGCAAGCAAGGTTCACTCTGTACATGCCCATGCTCTAGGCTCATATTTTCTAATTATATATATATATATTTGCACGATACCTCATAAACTTCTGTCCCACCTCTAGGCCCTTTCTTAACTCCCTTTCGACCCCCGGTCTTTATCCACCCACTGCACTGCATCCATGGACCCGGGAGAAACAATATCGACCACTTTGGGAAACCCTGAATAAACAAAGGATTTGGTCTATATTGAGTCCAGGATCGCTAGAATAAAGCGTTCATGTTCAGAGGCAGTGTACCCCAGAACACCAAGTGAGCAAACAGCGGGGGAGGCCTTCCCACGCTCTGCTTATGAGCTTCCAGGGACATCTAGGCTGTCCGCCGTTGGAAACAGGATGTCGGGCTAGGTCGATTTTTTTTTTTTTAAATGTAATCCAGCAGGGCTTCGTGTATGCTCTCAGAAGAACGAAAGACCTCTGGAGACATCTTCAAGCGCTCCCACCGGGGTTAGCAGAGCAGATGTAAGAGCAGGACTGGGGGGTGGGGGGCGGAGGCCGGGAAGCTTGTTTGGCTAGACGCGGGGCCTGACCTGTGAACTCAAAGCTGCGATCTCTCCTCCCAGGCTGAGCCGGGTGGTAATAAAAGCGCCAGGGAGACAAGGAAGAGGCCTCCTTCGCCCCGGGGCCATCCTCACACTGCAGGCTGGCTGCATTTTTGCAGGCGCTCGCTCCCTGCAACTTGCAGGCAAAGCGAGAACTTCATTTCATATTCCATCAATATTTACAAGGCTCGATTGAATTTCCCCCTGACAAAGTTCACACCAAGCAGGCGCGCGGCTAAGATGAAATATTAATAGCCAAGGAGGCGCCTTATGAAATGGCTGGTTATGTTGTTGCGCTTAAAAATAAAAAAATAAAAAATAAAATAAAATAAAATAAAATAAAATAAAATAAAATAAAATAAAATAAAAGCAACAACACATTTCTTCTGCATCCTACTCTCCTGCGCTCCCTTCATTCTTCTCTTGCCCTGGAGACCTTCGCGGCTTAGATTTGTGAATTCTGAAAAAGAGAATGCGATGGTTTGTAACCCGAGCGAGAGAATAGTTTCGCACGTGCCTGTCATCCAGCTCTCGACTTCTCTGCACGCGGCTGCGTAAGCGGCAGCTGAAGGTGTGAACAGGCTCTGTTGTAAAGTCCAGCGCCCACCGGGGCAGTTAGGTTGCGCTTAGTGCAGGGACTGGCGAAAGACGTGGGCCCCTTCAGACGTTTCAGGCAGGACTCCAACTCCCATCAGCCCCAGCCAGCGTCCATGGACATTGCTTAGGGGCGCCGGAGTCCAACAAGACCGGCAGAACTACCGTTCCCCTTTTATTCCGGGCTTCTTTCCCTTACACCTTGCCAGCCACCCTTTTATTTCAGGAAGTAATGTTAGTCCTTCGGTGACATAAGAATGTGGTTCTGCAGCCGTGAAGCGTTAGGGGACCCTCCCATTTGTTCTGCTGGATGGGGCCCCGGACTTCTGCCCTAAAGTCTTACTCTGGCTGCACCACTAGGAAGGGCCACAGGAAAGCTGATACAGTGGTACCTCAGGTTAAGTACTTAATTCGTTCCAGAGGTCCGTTCTTAACCTGAAACTGTTCTTAACCTGAAGCACCACTTTAGCTAATGGGGCCTCCTGCTCCCGCCGCGCCACCACCGTGCGATTTCTGTTCTTATCCTGAAGCAAAGTTCTTAACCCGAGGTACTACTTCTGGGTTAGCGGAGTCTGTAACCTGAAGCGTATGTAACCTGAAGTGTATGTAACCCGAGGTACCACTGTATCTCTGGAAAGGACTCTCCCTCCCTCGTGGTCCATCATCACTTGATGTTGCAGCTATCGCGTGGATTACATGCGGAGGGGTCAATCGCGTATCGGCACACGTGGGAACGCAAAAACCACGGGACAGGGGTGCCAACTCGAAAAAAATATATTTTTGCATAATCAATCACATGACGCACACTATTTGAATGGGAATGCTTATCAATTTGTGGGGCCTGCCCCCCTCAAATATTTTGGCCCCTAAGAGTTGGCTCTTATGCCACGGAATCATGAATTCCTCCATGCACTCCGCGGTGAAGCGAGCTATTACCCTCCCGGGGGAAACAATCATACTTCCATTAAGGTGGGATCCTGCCCTTAGGAGTCCTTATCTGTGCCCCGCGCAAACCCAGCCCCGCGCAAAAGGCATTAAATCCAAGAAAACATCTCCTAGAATAAAGAATAACGTGGCCTGATCCGCTGCATTTTGCCATGGGGCGGGGAGGGGGGAGAGTAGGGCGTTTGCCCGATGCCTCCTGCTCACAAAATCTGAGCGTTATCCAGGCCAAAACAAACAAGCAAACAACAATTCAAGTGTTTTAAAACCCGACTGATTTCAAAGGGATTGTTTGGGTCGCGGCCGAGTCTCTCTCTTTGAAGTGAGCAGGTCTCTAACGCTTCTGCTAAACCTGCTGGCAGACCATACTTCCAGTAGCCTCTCTCGGAAGTAAACCGTGTTGCTTCCAGTGAGATAAACTCCTAAGTATGTGTGCCCATAGAAAGGTCGCTGCGAGACTAAGGCGAGACCGTCCTATGGACACACTTACTTTAGAGGATATGTCGCAGGAATCAATACTACTTACTTCCGAGCGATGCTACAGGAGGAGGTTGGGGCCGCCTGCACGTTTAGCAGAAGCCAACAACCCAGAGGAGTAGAGGAGCTTTACGCGCAAGTAAGAGCGCAACACATTTCAGCTGAAATCCTCTTGAAGTGGGAAGAGCTTTCTGAGTAACCTGTGGGCAGGGCTGCGCCGCAATGAGCTTCGCCACCCTCTTTCACAAACTCATTCTTCGTCCCTCGGTCTTGGGACACCGCGATAGATAGATAGATATAGAAAGAATACAAAAATATATGTAATTTATTTACATGTTCGAGACAAAGAACCCCAGTAAATACACTTTGATCTTCCTCTGACAACAGAAAGCAGGTTGATCATTGTAGTTTTAGGGCAAAGGATAATAAATGTATTTTAAACTAGTAGACAAACACCGGATCTTCACACGTGGCAATTTCAAGATCTCCGAACTGCCTGCAGCTCTGTTCTGTTTATTGGCACCTTCGCGACGCAAGAAGCGCCTGCGACGTATCTACCTGGAGCTGCCTACCTGATTCGCCTTCTTAGATGGGTTTAAATTCTGAGGGTTTGGATATATATGCAGGTTTATGAAATATAATAATAATAATAATAATAATAATAATAATAATAATACAGCTCTTCCTCTTCAGCATCACATATTTCTGACGGTCTTGCATATGTTTCAGACATGGCCTACTCTAAAGCAGCCGGAGTGAGCTGACGGTAGATCTGAATATACTGGAAGATCTCTGACGGATCTCTAACATATCAGCAAATATATCCGGCTTCCAGCAGCAACAAAAACGACTTTTTTTCTCCATCTAAATTGGCTGCTAAAAGGAAGAAAACTAGGGAAAAGACGAACTGGGAAAAGCGCTGTGGGAAAAAGATCCACAGAATGCTCAAAAGTCAGAATGTGCTCGGAGACACCCTGTTCTTTCATTCTGTTTCTAACTTTATATCTAACTTGGCTCAATTGGTAGATCTCGGGGTTTCTGATAAAATAAATCAGAGTAGATCAGACAAGCTTGAAATGCGCGCGCTTCTGCACTAAAGCCATTGATAACAGATGACAAGCGAACCCCTTTCCTCTTTTAAAACAGGTGATATTGGAGTTCACAGTCCTTTCCTTTCTTCTTAATTGTTTTTCTTGACCAACACACCAACTGTACTACTGATCGCGAGCAGAAATTTGGGGGGTTTGGGAGGAAGAGGGAATTGTGCTAGCTTTTTAGGCCACCTAAGCCCAAGGGCGTAGCCAGGGCGGGGCCCCTTAAATCAATAAAGGTAAACAAAAAGACATAGCTAATTGAGGTTCTCCCCCCCCCAAAAAAAGGCCTGCCCCCTAACAAAAATCCTAACCACGCCCATGAGCTGAGCCTCTATGTGCTTGTTTGTTTGTTTTAACTCATATTCCTACCGGGTTCAGTAGGATTTACTCCCGAGTAACTACTGAGGAGGTGGGGGCAGATGGGTGAGAAAGAACGGATCTTTATGATTTCTGTTCAGTAGCCTGACCAGACCGGAGAGGAAGAGCGATACAAGAAAAGTGATGCAAACTTTCTCACCCCACTCCCCATTGCAGGAAACGACGGGGGTGGGGCGAGCGGGCAGGTGTCTACTCTTGCGAGTCAAACAAGCAAGCTTTGGTGGGGGCAGCACGATACCCACCCTATATTTTGGGGTAGGGAAACGTAACAGCTCCCCCCGCCCCAGGACTGCAGCTCGCTTCGGCTTGAAGCCCTTTGACAAATGGGAGAGGTTTTCAGCAAGTGTTATAAGGGGTAATTTAAGGGCGTGGGCGGACAACTGAGGGAGGCTAGTTCTGTTGGGCATCCAAACAGTTACCTGAACGTTCACTTTGATTGCAAGTTAGCGTGAGTTTCTCGCTCTGGCACAGACAGTCGGGCTGCTTAGCTTTGAAACGTTGCGTTCTCTCCCCCCCTTCTCTGTCAGCTTCCTAACTTTCCTTTTGGATCTTCTCCCACCGGAACTAACCTCCTGTCCATATGCGGCTCGCCCCGGCTTCGCTTTTGATTTCCACTCGGGACCGACTTAAAATGAGACTAAGCCAAAGAGGGACAAATAACAGGGAAGCAATCATAACTTTGTCTGCTCAGAAACAAGTCCTATTGAAGTCAGTGGGGCTTACTCCCAGGTAAATGGGGGCTAGCATTGCAGCCTCTAGCCCTAAGGCCTATTTTTAAAAATCCTGTTTGTAAATTTGTTATTGCCAGCGCAGGGGCTGTCACTTAATTTATCTAAATAAATTGTCAATGTAAGGGTATCGGGACTGCAGCTAACCCCCAAAAAAGCAACCCTCAGTCATATCGGAATAACTGGGTTGTGTTGTAATCCTTATCGGATTGAATGAGAAAAACCAAGTGCCTATTAATGAGATACAGAGGAAGAAATAAATCGAATGTATATTATTCTAATAGTCCGCATTATAAACCGGTTTCAGCCTTGAATACGAAGGACTCTGCCCATTTGAGGTAAATTGAGTTTAGGACTATTATTATTATTATTAAAAAATTATTCTGACTGCGACAACTCTGTCTTCGCAGGCTAAATGGAGCTAGAAAATATTTGTTTTGAAACAGGAGATATGTATCTCCGTTTAGTAAAGGCGTCGAACCTAAAGTTACTCAGGTGTAAAAGCCTTGATTTCAAACGCGGATTGTTTTATTTCGGAGAATATTCTCTCCCCCCCCCCCCCAGGTTTTGCAGAACCTCCTTTCTTCGCTTCTCCCATGCAAAATCATAAATGAATGGAAGGTCTTCGGGGCAGGTTCAAAGCTATTCTGTGCCCACTGATGGTGCTATATTTTGGTTAAATACATACCTACAAAATGCGGCCATCGCTTTAAACCACAACGTGAGCGGTTCAACAAGTTTTAACGACGTGTATCTTTGAATGCCGAAATTATTTTTGTATATTGTTGGGCTTCTTCCTCTTTTTAAAATCGGAATAGAAGAAGGTAATAAAAGTCAAATGTGCAGAATGCTATTATATACGCACATGCGTTCATGCACTCGGAAAGAAAGTCTTGCTTGATTTCTGCTGAACCTACTTCTAAACTGTTCGTTCAACTTCTTCTTGCTTCTTTGTTTTTTGAAAGGGGAGAATATTTCTTCTGCTAGCCTAAAAAAAGTCTGAAGTCCGGAGTCAGTTCGAAGGGAAGCGACAATGCACCCACAACTGAGCTCAGTGGAGCTTATTTCATAGGATTTCAGTGGTAGGTTGTATTCGGTCCTTCTTTGGTTACTCTGCTAACACAGCGCAAGCCTAACCATGTTTACTCAGAAGTAAGTCCCACTGAGTTTAAGGCAGCTTGCTGACTAGTAAAAGTGCATTTAGGATCGCAGCCATTGTCACTTTACATGCAAAGGTGTTTCTGGTTTTACAGCGCAATCCTAACGATGTCTACTTAGAGGTAAACCCTTCAACGGGGCTTACTCCCCAACCAGCCAGATGTGGTTTAGCAATATTCCATAACATTTACCTAGCTGAATCCAGGTAGTTTTGTGCCTGAAAGCATTTAAGCAAAATGTCACGCTGCTTTTAAATAAACGGGTTTAAGAATATAAACAGGCTGAAGCTCTTCACTGCTTTGATTAACGGATTCTTATTTTTTATATACCAATTCCCGGCTAAAGGAAAGTGAGCCAAAGGAAATACCTGGGTAACCTCAGTTGATAAATTCTCTATCTGCTCAACCTCAACCTTACTCCTCCTTGTCCGTAAAATGGGAACATTAACCCTGGTCTACTTTGCCGGGATTATTCAAAGCGCGGGTGTGAAGCACTCAGATCACTCTGACAGCGCTGTGCAACGCCAGCTATATTATTAGCCGTTTCCCACCAGTAGTTATCATTAATTATTGCTAGTTAGGTGAACAAAGGGGCCTTAAGAGGGAGCGAGGCAGAAAATGCGATCATCTCTGACCTCATGCAAGAGATGTTTGCGAGCAGGGCTGTCAGCGGCGCGCCTTTCGCCCGCACCCTGCGCAAGCGCGCGCCTCCTCTCAGTTCAGGTGAGTAGCTGCGCCCCAAGGAGCCTGCGAACTCCGCTGCCCACCTGAGGCGAGGCTGGATCACGCAGCCAGGTCGTGGGGTGCGGCAAACGGCAGGACGCGCAAGGGAGGCAGGTCCACACAAGCACAGAATGTAGGGAGCTCTGGGGGTTCCCTTCGTACAGAGCGGAGAGGTGAGGAGGGATCAGGCTTCACATAGCTCCTTGGGGTGCGCAGTGTACTGTATACACACACACACACACACACACAGAGAGAGAGAGAGAGAGATGTACACACACATAATTACACACACACGTAGCATATGTGTGTTTCTGAGATCTATATTAGCTCTATCATATATTCGGTGTATGTGTATTACACACTCACGCAGTATGTGTGTTTGTATATTAATATCACAGCATATACTTGACATATGTGTGTATTCGATTGATCTGTATACCGATATGTGTTTCAACATAAAACATATACAGCCTATATTATATATTAATATAACACACAGGTAGTGTGTGTGATAGAATATATTCCAATATTTATTTGGTATATACACCAAATAGTTCTGAGAAGCCTGATCTCTCTCCCTACTGTATATATTTCCTAAAATCTACTGTCCAGAGCCAAGGGCAATAGATAAATGATACTTAAAGCTAAAGGGTTGGCTGCCTCTGAGCACTCTCCGAGCTTGTGGATTTGTTTTCGGTACCAGCCTTGAGCTCACTTCGCAGTTTGTCCACACACACAACCTTGCTCCCTCCGGCTTAGCTGCCTCCATTGCAGCAGTTCCATTTCTGGGGTGGGAGCTGTTCTGTTGCTGCTGTTATTCAATTGGGAGTCAGGATCCCTTGCCGATCTACTGTGGATTATGCAGAGATCTGCCAGCTAATATACTTCCTGACCCAACCCGCGCTTCTCTGGCTTAAGGCCCATTGAACTCGGTGAGCCTTACTTCCGAGTAGACACGTAGAGGGCTGCGCAGTAAGTTTTCTTTTTGGCAAGTGGCCTGAAAATTTAGGGTGCGGTTTGAAGCCCAATGGGAGATATATACATAAATCTCCCAGTACAACAGCAGCGCGTAATATGGGCTGGATCACGCTTTCCAAACTCATAATTGGTGTTCCATGTCTCGTTTTTCTTACATACATTCCTCAGAATACTGGGACCATTTTTTAAAATGTCATTTCCCAAACATCCATTGAACTTTTCAGTATCCTTGTGAAATGAGCTTTCTCTTTCTCACACCCACCTACACTGCAACTAGTGGATTCCTGCTAGCAGACACACTACTAGAAGATCTCTACGAGCTGCTTTGCAGTAGACCGGCCTTGATTTCTTACTGAAATGAAGAAAGGTTCAACAATCCAGGAGTGGATTTCAGTGCAGAAGGACTGTAATCTGCGATAGGTTCTGGTTACTCAAAACAAATCCCTGGGCTCAGAATTAATTCTAAGCGTAGAATCATAGAATCGCAGAATTGTAGAGCTGGAAGGAAGGCACCACGAGGGTCATCTAGTCTAACCCAATGCAGGGGGTTAGACTAGATGACCATCGTAATTTGTTTTTGTCACAGGTTCTGGCGAATGGATCTTGAGGTTCTAGTAAAAAGACAAACAAAAGCAAAGTAGATCCTGGAGTCTACAATCAGTGCATTGGTGTCTTCGAAAATCTCTATTAGAAGGTGAGATCTCTCTCTCTCTCTCTCTCTCTCTCTCTCTCACACACACACACACACACACACACACACATCAACACAGTGGGGTGCCATATTCTGAAGTATGTTCGATCAGTGCATATTTACTCGGAAGTAAATCCCTTCGAGTTCAAGGGGACTCCCTCTCGGATAAACGTCCACAGGCTTCGACTATATAAGGCTGCAATTCCTGCACCCCCTTTACCAGAGAGTAAGTTTCATTGAACTCATGAGTTTTGAGTAGATATGCACAGCAGGGGCGAGCAGATCGGGATCTCCTGGGGGATTTCT